AAGAAAGATGGAGAGATGATGAATGGATAGATGAATGGATGGATGGATGGATGGAGAGAAGATAGATGAATGATGGATGGATGATAGATAGAAGATAGATGGAGAGAAGATGGATGGATAAAAGATGGATGATAGATAGATGATGGATGGATGGATAGAAGATGGATGGATGGAGAGAAAATAGATGAATGATGGATGGATGATAGATAGAAGATGGATGGAGAGAAGATGGATAGATAGAAGATGGATGAATGGATGGATGGATAGATAGAAGATGGATGGATGGAGAGAAGATAGATGAATGATAGATAGATAGAAGATGGATGGATAATAGATAGAAGAAAGATGGAGAGATGAATGGATAGATGATGAATGGATAGATGAATGGATGGATGGATGGATGGCTGGAGAGAAGATAGATGAATGATGGATGGATGATAGATAGAAGATGGATGGATGGATGGGTAGATGGATGGATGGATGGATGAATAGATAGAAGATGGATGGGTGGATGGATGGATAGAAGATGAGTGGATGGATAGGTGGATAGATAGATAGGACACTTTATTTTTACAGAATACGTTGCCTGTTTTAAATGTCTTTTAATTACAATTCATTAAATACATTTTACCTGTCATTATAGTCCAATTTTCTGTGTGTTATGGCCAGTTTAATTCAGATTTCAGCTCATAAATTCAAAGAGTGGCAGTTCTTGAGAGTAATTGTGGTTTTGTGTGATTACTGGATCGTGTAATGTTTACTAGAAAGACTGACTCAATTTGAACATATTTATTGCTTTAAATTACTTTAATGAATAATTTCAGTTAATCTAAGTTTGACTGAAGTCCTCAGTTCAGAACCAGAGGAGGAGATTTAAGAAGGAAGACCAGAAGAAATAAAACTGTAAAAGATAAATGGACAATTCTGTATAACTAAAGGCAGACTGTGATCTTTCTTTAATGACCATCATTAGAGGTGCTTTTGAAATATGATATGGTTAATCTTGTGTGTGTGTGTGTGTGTGTGTGTGTGTGTGTGTGTGTGTCACTGGACATATATTTTATGTCCAGTATTTTAATACATTTACTAAAATTAAAATAGGAGATATTTTAATAAATTTACCATGATAACCATAGTTTCCACTAAAATAACTGTTTGTTTCATTATTTGTGGTGCATTTAAAGCCAAGTGTGGCTATTATGTGCATGATTTCTCATAAATAATTGGTAATTAATATGGTAGAAATGGCCTCTAGTTCCCTGCTGCTTGATAATTTTCTCTTTTAAATATAGTTTCTGAGGTTAGGAGTAACAGCATGTCAGGGTCTCTCCCTGTCACCTTTTTCGTGCTTGCGTCATGTTCCAAAAGCTTCAGTATCGCCACACACTCACACACACCTTCCAGAACATCTGCTGTCAGTATGTGCCATATCCACACACTAATGCCTTCGGCGCTTGGACACTTACATATCATTGTCATCAGTGACAGGACTGCCACACACGCACAAAACAAACAGATCATTTCCAAAAACCTTTGACAGCTCTACAAAAACAACACGCTCACTGCGGCTGCTTTCTTTCACAAAGTCAGTAACCTGTGGAGTTACATTATTTTTCCTATTTGGGAATATATTGGGTCTGTATGTATACAGTATATACCGTATATATATATATATATATATATATATATATAAATTATGTTCATTAAAACATACAATTTATTCTTGTGATCTGTAGGTCAGTGATAGACTTATATTCAATTATATGGAATTTATTTATTTATTTATTTAACAATTACAGGTATAGTTTCCCCAAATTTCATTCAAAAATGCATCATGACAATAATGTTTTTTCCTCTAGTCTGTTGGTGAGTAATAAAGTTATATTCAATAACATGGATATAAGATATTAATATACTGGTTTATTATTTTAGACTTTTTTTTTTTTAGAATTTGTACTATTTGTAAAGTCTGTTCAATGATTTGGTTATTTTTAAATGTTTGATTTAATTACCAGTTTTAATCAGTTAGCAGCCCTATCAAATTTTGTTTTGTTTTAACATTCATGTCAAACTGTGTAATATTTTGATGCAAATGTCAGATTATTTGGAACTTTACACCCAACCTTAAACTTCAAGACAACACAATAAAAAAAAAAGAAATAAAAAAGAGAGAGACCACGAAGTGAAGCAAAAAGCATAAAAAAGAAGAGTTTCTCTGCCTGTCACTCTGTTGATCCATCTTTATTTGTCTGTTTGTTTGTCTCCTGTTCTCCGACTCCCTTTTTTCTTCACATTCGCGTTCACACACCTCACCGTTCTGCTTATTCCTACACAATAAGAAAGCTTCTCTCGTACACACTGTCAGTATTTGTCAAATCCACACACTAATGCATTGTGCTCTCAGAGTCTTGCACATTGTTGTTATCGGCGGTAGACACACAAACATGCTCACAATGCACCAGAAATATCTAACCATTGCTGAACAATAAATTTCTTTCCTCCTTTTTTGGCATAAAATCATTTATCTGTTAATGATTTGCATCGTGTTGTAAGTGTTTCCTTTTTAATTTGCTATTAGTTGACATTTATGTCTAACCATCCTAGTTCAGAGCTTCATAAATATCAATGCTTTTACCAAAAGGACACCACATTTACACAGGGTAAAATCAAATCCAATTTGTTCATTTATTACATTTAGAAGTAGTTTCAGTGAATGATCTGACCATTGGAATTCACCAATCAGGGATGTTTTGATGCCCACACTTTTCTTTTGATTCAACTCAAGCTCTTTCATATGGTGAAAACTGTTTTGTTGTCTAGTTACAAATTAAATTTGGGTTGTCAAACACAAATTTGACTTGTGGAGGAGTCCAATCTGGCAAGCAAGATGATTTGAGGAAAGAAAAAAGAGAAAAAAATAGTTATATCAATATGATAGATTCATGCGGTTTATTCTGTAGTTTAGCTGTTACTGTTCATTTGTTGTGTTGCATGTTAAAGGGATAGTTCATCCAAAAATGAAAATGATGTAATCATTGACTCACCATCCCCTTGTTCCAAACCTGTATGAGTTTCTTTCTTGTGTTGAACACAAAAGAAGATATTTTGAAGAATGTTGTGACCAAGCAGTTGACGGTAGCCATTGACTTCCATAGTTTTTTTTCCATACTATGGAAGTCAATGGCTACCGTCAACTGCTTGGTTACCCACATTCTTCAAAATATCTTCTTCTGTGTCCAACAGCTAAAAAAAAAAAATACATACATGTTTGGAAGAATGTCAGAATTTTTGAATGAACTATCCCTTTAAATCTTGGATACAGTTTTTTTTTTTTGTAACAATTGATTATGTGCATTTCTCAATACAGACAGCACAACAGCGGTGTCTGTGGACTAAACTGTACATTATTTTGTCTTTCTTTTGATACAAAATGGATTTAGTGAGAACATTTGGCAAAATTCATGTTTTGCATTTCCATGTTTTGCATTAGTAAAAATGCACAACCCCTTTTTGCACATGGAACTGTTTACCCTATGGTAGAATGGGCTGATGAAATGTTCTGATGGTTTGACAGAAAATAAACTGCTGACTGAAAGTGCATGCTGGAGGAATGTGAAGTATTTTGAAAAAATGTACTCAGTATTGAGAAATGCTTGTAAACAGGTAAAAAACAAGTGGTAAAGCCTTAGTTAAGCGTAGCACTTGATCACATGCGAATGCATATTATCAGCTGCATCTGGATCTGACAGTGAGAGTCGCTCACAGCAGTAATGACATCATGAGGGAAAATATCTAGAGCAGATTTCACAGTTGCTTCCAAGTCTGTTTCATTATTAGGTTATTACGTTGATTATTAAACATGATAGACTTAATGAAGTTTAAGAGAAAGGTGACATGATGACATTTTCATAGAGAAGAAAGAAGGATATTCTGAACAGCAAGACATCTGCCCTTGCAAACATGCACCCACACAGAAAATAAATGTCTCTAATTGGATTTGAATGCTATAATGTGTTTTTTAATTGCTGACTGTGCCCTCATGATAACCTGTGGCCTTTTTATTCATTGTGTGAAGCCATAAATCTCTCATTGTGTGACTCAGTTGGAGAATAGCTTTCCTGAGTTCACAAGCAAACTTGTGTTTAAATAAACAGTTTCTCATATATGCTGTGAGCAACATTGTTTAACAGATAGTGTGTATCCTACTGATATTTGAGAAGTACTCAAAACAGCAACAAAAACTGTAGCACGAAAGGACTTGTTATGAGTTTAGGGCTACAGGATTATGACAAAAAAATATAATTTGGGTTACATTAATTAATATAATTTACATTATAATGCCAATATTTGTTTTGTGAGGTATTCTGACGAAGATTGCATTATAATCAATGAAGCAGTTATGAATCACTGCTTTATTTGCAAATTATTTTTATTTGATTTTATTTTTATTGACTTGTGTACATTTCATCAGTGCACATTATTCCAAAGGAAAAAAAAAAGTTTATAATCTTTAATTAAATTTTAATAACTTCTCCACCTTGCTCCATTCCAGTATTTTATTTTATTTTATTGTTTTGCACTGTGCACTCCTTTTTGATTATAAAGAGGCAATTTTACTTTGTCAGAAATCCACAAAAAAAAAAAAAAGATATATATATATTACCAAAATTATCAATAAAATGTTCTTTAGGTTCGGTTGTCATTACTAACAGGTCTAAAGCTTGATTTAAATCTGCACTGCATTCATGCACTAAACGGACAGGTCTGTGACTAGTTATAATGTTCAATCAACCCTAACCAAGGCAATTTAATAAAAATAAAAATAATTTTTTTTTTGAGTACATCAGTTTATGTAAGCATGCATGTGTATGCGGGTTTACCTATGCAGAGTTTTGAAGCTAAATCTGTTTCTGGAGCATGACGTGCAAGTGGTTGTTTTGAAACCAGATACTACATCATAAATACTGTGATCTTGTCTTTTCCTCTGACTCTCTTTGTAGAGCAAAAAAGAAGAACAAGCCGCTGAACCTGAAGATCCACAGCAGTGTGGCTGGGAGCTGTGAAAACCTGCCAACCCAGCGCTCTCCTCTCCACTCCGATCACTCACTCCGCTCCTTCTTTTTCCCCAATTTTGTCCCCTCGACACCACCGGTGCACTCCGATACCCCCTCAGCAAGTGAGTAACAACCATTAACCTCTTTGCAGGACAACACATTGTTTCAGTCCTACCTAAAACACAGCTGATGAGAACATAACTCGTGAAGAACCTCTGCATGTCTCTGTGACACATGGCAAATATCCAGACAGATCACTAAAGCAACCTGGTGTCATTATTATCAGATAAACACATGAACATTAAGGACGCTTTACCTATAGTTACAGTGATGATTATAATTTTTATTATAATTATAAATTTTATTATAATTTTTGGTTTTATTGTATATTTTTGTGTTATAAATGTGTGTGTGTGTGTGTGTGTGTGTATATATATATATATATATATGCTAAAATAATTTAATTTAACAATTTATTTCATTTTATAAAATAAAAAAATATATAAATAAAAATCGATATATTTTTGTTATATAACTTCTTACAAATTATTAGTTTAAGTCAACATTAGGGCTGTGCAATATATCAAAATTATCAAAATATCGCAAATGTACATATCGCAATATGCATATAGCTACAGCTTGCAATATTTAACAAAAGACACAAAAGACAAAGAGAAAATAACTCACTGCTCTTACCTAAATAACTTTTGTAGCTTAAATAAGAATCAGTGCATAATATTGAATTCAAAGAGTAAATACTAAGCAGTGTTTTATTTTTCCTTTTTATTATTCAGTTCCTAAACTCATGTTAAAATGACATTTTTATGTAATGCTAGAGTAAAACACTACCCTTCACTTTCAGAAGTTGTTGTAGGGATGCTTTCTTATTAGAATCAGAATCAAAATGAGCTTTATTCACCACTTAAGTGTGCGCAAACACAAGGAATTTGTTGTGGTTTTACAGGAGCTCTTGATACATACATACATACAAATAACCATATATATATATGACACAAGATAGTTATAGAAGTTCACAGAACTGACTCAGCAACAGCTGAGTAAAACTGTTTCATCTGAGCATGTGGCACTTTAAGCATTATCGTATCGAATATCGCATTATTTAATGAGTTATCGCATATCGCATTTTTTTTCAATATCGCACAGCCCTAGTCAACATGAAATCAAAATTCACCATTGATTGACCTTCTTAATACACGTTTCTGGTTTTATTGTGCAAAATTAATCAGTACACATTATTCCAAAGAAAAAAGTTCATAATCTTTCATTGAATTTTATTTCCTTTTTTCCACCTTGCTCCATTTTGGTATTAATCATTTAAACTTTATTTTATTTTTGAACAAAATATTTGGATTTTTTTTTATTCTTTGAAGAAAAAACATCCTAATTAAAAATAAATAGTTTTTGCTGATTGAATATCTTGTATCATCAGAAATATGTTGCCTAATAGAATTGATTCATCTTGACTGCAAATAATTAGAAATTTAATTTATACAGTATTTATATTAAATATTTAAGAAATGGATCATATATTATTTACTAACCACTTTTTAATATGTTCCTATAATGCACTATCATTATATTTTGTTCCTAGACTTTCTCTTGTCGAGAAATATCCCTGATCTGAATTTCTTTGTTGCGCAACATTGCATAGCTTTATCCCAAGTGCGTGTTTAAAGACATTCAAACTCTTGGTCAACATCATTAGATCACAGCTAGTGTTGACAGATGTCTGATGACGCACGTCGGTCAATTACAACTTTCTTTGTCCTTTTCTTTCACAATGTGACTTCCCTTCTTATCACCTATTAAAGGGCAGCGTCCCAAACCTACATGTGTCCCAGGACACCTGGCATCGTGTGGGCGCATATTATCCAAGCCCAATGTCTTCTACACCGGGGGCCTCTTAGCGTGGGCTATTAGAGGAATAATGGGCCGAACGGAAGCAGTGTGTATGTGAGAAGACTGGGAATGACACAATAATGACGCAAAAGACTCTGTTTTGGAATGAGATTATCATACAGATGGAGGGAAAAGTTTTGACTGCTTGTTTCCAGAATTATGAATGATAGAACCCCTCCAAGCTTTGGCAATCTGCTGTATGCTTTGTACATTGTTACACTGTGGGAAATATCCGGAGAGGTAACTGTTAGGATGTTTTTCTTTTCATCTCTATGTTTTTTGATGGGTTTGACAAATTAATACTTAAGTTAATAAAAATGTTTGGCTCTTATTGAAATCTAACCACTGTTGAGGGTAACACTTTAGAATAGGGAACACATATTCACTATTTATTAACAGCTTTCCCTCAATAAAAATCCTAATTTGCTGCTTATTAATAGTTAGTAAGGTAGTTGTTAAGTTTAGGTATGGAGTAGGATTAAGGGATCTAAAATATGGTCATGCAGAATAAGGCATTAATATGTGCTTTGTAAGTACTAAACAGCCAATATGCTGCTAATATGCGTGCTAATAAGCAGCTAGTTAATAGTGAGAATTGGTCCTCAAAATAAAGTGTTACCCTATTAATTTTAGTCTTACTATTTTTAGTCATTGTGTATTTTTTTTTATGTAATATAATTTTAAGGGCTTTTTGTCATTTGTATTAGTCTTTATTTATACTACTATTTAGGTTCAATTTATTTTTATTTTAGTTTTAGTTCGTTTTTAGTTTTTAATTATTTTATTTCCAGTCAGAAATTTAAATTAATAGTTCACCCAAAAATGAAAACAGATTTGGAGAAATTTAGCATTACATCACTTGCTCACCAGTGGATCCTCTGCAGTGAATGGGTGCCGTCAGAATGAGAGTCCAAACAGCTGATAAAAACATCACAGTAATCCACAAGTAATCCACACCACTCCAGTCCATCAATTAACATCTTGTGAAGTGAAAAGCTGTGTGTTTGTAATAAATCAATCATTAAGATGTTTTTAACTTCAAACTGTTGCTTCTGGCTAAACTATGTTTCTCTTTCCATAATATTGCTTTCTCCAGTGAAAAAGTTGTCTTGTCTGAATCAGGAGAGAAATATGCACAGATCAAAACAGTTCAAAATAGTTCTAAACAAATATGTTAGTGGATTTTTCAGTCATGTGGATTACTTGTGGACTATTATGATGTTTTTATCAGCTGTTTGGACTCTTGTTCTGATGGCACCCATTCACTGCAGAGGATCCATTGGTGAGCAAGTGATGTGATGCTAAATTTCTCCAAATCTGTTCTGAAAAAGAAACAAACTCATCTACATCTTGTATGGTATGAGGGTGAGTAAATGTTCAGGAAATTTTCAGCTTTATTTCAATAACACAAATGTTTAAATGTTTTAGTTTTAGTTCTCTTTTTACTTAATGATAATAACCCTGATGTTGAGAATTTTTTACCCCAAAATCTAAATTCCTCCAGAGTTTGGGATGCAAGAGCTTGTTGCATAACCAGATGAAAGATCGTTATAGTTGAATTTCCTGCATAACCAGATGAAAGATCGTTATAGATGAATTTCCGATAAACCAGTTGCAGGGCTATAATCTCATTGGGTTTGTGGCAGCCTCTGTAATGGCATTACTTGCGTTCTGGACTTCCCGATGGGCCTCCAGGCCGGACACGGTGGCAGTAACCAGGCCTCGCGAGTGTCGTCAGCCCTGGTAATGCGTCTGCTGTTTTTCTGCATGTGGTGACAGTATTATTGTACACAGCACGCAACAGTTTGCCCAAGGTCTGTACTTCACGGTTTCAAGTTTCTTGACATGCACACAGAATATAAACAGTGTGTGCAATACTATGAAATGCTTATGTGTAGTTTAACTCTGGACATCACAACTGAAAGTTGAGAGTAGGGTAGAGAAATACAAACAACCCAAAGGATATTGTTGGTGTTTGGATGTTGCCAGTGCTTAATTTGTAAATTCCGAGGTGCCAGAACAAGGGGGCTTGGCAGATCCGGCAAGTTAGTGGGGTGGGGAAAGGTAACGGAACAGCCTATGTGCAATCTCTGTGGGGTTTTCTATCCAAATATTTTGATGTACGTGACTATTTGTGCATGTAAAACACCATGGCATTATGCATTATGCCCAACAAAGTCACAGCCCAAAGTCACAGCCAAAAACACAGCCCTGGACATTTGTATTGAATTCAAAAGTTTAAACTCGTAGTCATTTTGTGCACGAGCTTGTGCAAGTGGAGGCTGCTGGTGTATGGGCATATAAGCATTTAATCATAAGCATATTTCATCAGCTTTTCAGCGTCTCCTTGCAGCATTGTCCATCAACACAAATAGCTCTCTCTGAAGTGTCCATCACGACAAGTTCCCTTCAAGATATAATGTGAAGCATGCGACTTGCATGCTTTAAGTTTCAGAAAACCATAAGTGCATTTTTATGTACCTAATCATTTTCAATCCCTGGGTCGCAACACTTAAAAAATGGGTCGATGATTTAAGGAAAATGTATAGGCCTATAGCCTATGTAAGTTAGCCTACATTCAATTTTATTTTTTTCATAAAATCATAGTCTAAAATAAATAAATAAGATAAATATATCTGCCAAATAACAGATTAACAAAACAAAAGAAAAAAACTACGACAAATAGTAGCTAATATGCTGCTGAGTTTGTTTCATTTTTGTGAAGTGCAGCGCTCCACAAACAAGTTCAAAGAAAGTTTCAGAAAGGAAACTGAGATGACATCCTGTATGTTTTCTTTATTTTGCGAAAGCACATGTTTTGTTTTTAGTGTGAGTGTATACAAATAAAAGTAGCTGAACTTTGCAGTCTTGAATGATGTCAGCAGTGGTCAGAGAGTCCTACAGCTGCTCTGGGGACTGAGCGATATGCATCCTTATATGCATCCTTATATAATATGTCTTACTCTTATCTGTATGACTATAAATCTCGGAGTATTTTAGTTGTTTCTACTGGTAAAAGGAAACAGTTCAAGTGATCACGCATTCTAGCATTGCAAACTTGAATTCGTTTTGGCTTGTTTATAGCTACTTATACTTTTTTGTTCTTGTTCTGTATATATTATATATTTTAGTATTCTTATGCTTGGCTTGACTTTTAGCATTATATGAGATGGGGGATCCCCCAAATGAGGTGCCAGATTAG